CGAATTATGTTTACTACTATAGCAGAAGACTTCGGACTAGGTGTGTTCTACTCTCTCCTGAAAAGCAAGACCAAGTTGGGACAACGAGGTCAACTCATTACTATCATATTTTATTGCTTGATCCAACTATGGGTATTTTGATCAAGCTTATTTCAAATTATCCATTTCTTATTGCAGGACTTCGATAGGTATATTTTTTCAATAATTCTGTCAAAACGATAATTTTCATTTCCGATACCTGCTAAATTCGGCTTGTTAGTCAATTTAAACCTCTTTCTGATTTTCCTCCCTTTTAATGGTTGAATTTTCTTGGTCTTCTGTTCTTAGTTCTTGGCATCCGATTCATGGGTCGATTTAACAGTCATGTTTTTTAAACTATTTATTTACACAATCACTAACACCATAGACGTGCAACGCATAAATTTATATTTACTTAATTATCGTCGACTTCGTAGTTGTGTCTTCTAATTTCCTCCAAACATTACCGGATTCTGCTGAAAGTTCCCTTCCTTTACATACGCATCCCATTTAATTAACATTTATCGTGATAGTGTAATTGTTATCAACTAAGCTTTTTCTTAGTCTTTCTAACTCCTGTTCCGTTAAGCGTAAATTCCTTTTTATCCTTGATTTCATTACTCCTACTTTAATACAATAAGTATGATTCGAGAAGAAATTAAGAAGGAAACCCTAATTTATGGGTTTCCTATATACACCTCTACCCAGTTTGTTCCCTTCTCTGGTAACTATAACATCTAAAAAGGGTAACTTATTGTCATTTTTCCAGTTATACGAAGTAAGTAGATTCTCAGCCGGCCACCTTCCTTGATTAAGCTTTTTGGGGGATTTTTCGTAAATAATCGTTTCTGGCTCTGACGATGCCCGTCACGTGACGGACGAATGCTCAGCACGGAGTCATCGAGGTCGTAGAACCGTGATCCGAGGTCCTCTCCGCACAATTCAAAAGACGAAAGGCCAAGACAACCCTCCTTCGGTATCCGGTGAGGCCAATCTACGAATCCATTCCACCCAGTTTCTCAAACGAAATAAAAGACGTGCCAGTGTGATTCTCCTAAGGGATTCTTCGAAACCCAGTTTCCCTTCATGTCTCCTTGAAATTGTTTCCGTTTAGCATCGGAAGCACCAATTAGTTGGAAACGCTTTTTTATATGTAGGCAAGGCTATACTTGCTCTCTACCATGTTAGTCCAGCTTAACTGCCTCCTTGTCAGCAATCTTTAAAGTAACAAATTCGGCTAACCAATACGCAAAGGATAATTATTGCGTTTGGGACTGATCACGGAATGCTGCTGTCGAATTTCCACTAAATTTTGCTAAAAGTCCTGGCAAGAGAGATGAAATCGAATTGTTCAAATATACTACCTAAGAAAAGTCTCAAATCATTATGATGATATTTTCATACAGCACATTGCATGAAATCAACCGAATATCCTTAATATGAATCAGTAGTGACTTAGACTGTTTTCGTTATTGGCCAGAATGCCTTGAAGATAAGGCCCGGATGGCATAATGGCTAGCTTACTTATAATCAGGAAGTTGTCTTCTTTCTTTAATTAGATTTAGAGCGTAAATTAAAAAATACCCTGAATGCCAAATCATAAACTAACCGAAAATTCCAAGGAGCGAATAATAGCCAAACAATTCCAGTTTTTATCTTCATCATTTCTACAGATTTACAGACGTATAAACGTTAGTGTAGGTACGATTATGCACAGAAGCAAATTTTCCCATTTACCCTAGGACGCCTACTTGAAGGCAATCTTCATTTAATCACACATCTTTAAATGAATTTACCACATCTTGTGACTTCCTAAATAAAATCCATTTATATCGCTTTTAAATGATACGCTTTTCCCTTCTATTCTTTTTGCATGAAGTTAGACAGCAGTACAATAGTAATTATATATTCATTTTGGAGTAGAGTTTCGAGACAACCAGTAAATCAGTAATATGAGATGTATTCACCCTATTTTGTCTAAGGTGATGAAGGACTGCTAGTAGAATTTTCCCACAATTATATGAGTTGAGCTGACGTTTCCATTGAATTTCACATAGCCTTGCTTTCCCAAAAGTTTTTCTCATCCAGGGTGGACTGCAGTTTCGACTTCGCATCGGTACTCATGGCAGTGTAGCCGGGTGGTTAGCGTGTCAAGCCCTAATCCTGCACTGGCGCGGTTCGACTCCCGCTGAGGGTGTTGATAAGACCGATGCGAGGTCGAAAATGCAGTCCACGCTGGATGAGAACAATGTTTGGAAAAGTAAGGCTATGTGAAATTCAATGGAAACGTCAGCTTAACTCATACCATCGTGGGAAAATTTTACTACCAATCCTTCATCATCTTAGACGAAATAGGGTGAATGCACCTCCTATTATATATTCATACCAAATATAAGGGAAAATTTTTATTTACTACTAGTCAATTTTCAGCTATAGCACTGATTTGGGATCTGTCCAACATAAATAGAGTAGGAGTCTTTATTTGTCACACTTGATTTTAACTTGAAAGGCATCTCACTAAACTTGCAAAGAAAGAATGTTCAATCCCAGATATGAAGACCAAGATAGTGTGACCTTCTGTTAGATTGTAGAGAATGTTCAAGTTCAGGTGCCATTTAGATTACATAGCCTTATCTCTGCTGTAGGAAAGAGTTGACATCCTAGGAGTACCGATTAGTGTGGATATATATTTTGATAAGGTAAATATGTGTGTCCCATTAATATCGATTCATTTGTTTTATTATATCATTTTTTGTTTTAACTATGACTGGGTTGATTGGTATTTAAGAAACTGTTTGTTATCTCCTTAAAAAGAATTGGACACCGTTCGGATATATACAGAGGAATTCACTGACCCAATCAAGTTCTCTTCATATATCATAGGCAGTTTAATTATCAGTGCACTTTTGTGGAACTAGCATCCGGTTCACACTGAAATGTTCATTTTATTTTAAGTCTGGAGGATCTGAATACTAGAACAGACAAATATATACGGTATATTTACCCTATTTCGTTTAAGCTGATGAAGGACTAGTAGTCATGTTTGTCAAGTGGTAACATTACCACTTCTCCATACAGTTTGGATACCAACCGGTACCCTACCGATAGTTTCGAAACCTACTCATTTGATAGATATTAGTGTCCTATATTATGCTGGCAAATACAATTTTGCTTCATCGACAACAGCCCCAGCACTAAAGTCGACTTTGAAGAGGCTTATGTTATTGTGGAAAACCCGATCTGGGGTATGCTTAGTCCTTACAATTATATCCCAATTAGAGTAGTCTTCTTCATTTAAGTAAGCTTGGGGTTCAGTCTGCAAATAACTCTAGTAATTAACAATAGCCCTTACTTAAACTAAAAGCTGGATTTCAAATTCCCTAATTTTACCTCTTCCCGCTGTAGAGAAGACATTGTTCGAACTCAGGGCTACCGACTCGGCGCTCCTTCCAGTCGTGACCTTTTATCTTTCGCGCAACTGCCTCTCGCAGACTTACACGGATCGGTGTCAGCACATCGCAGTCAAAGCAACGATGATCTTTTATCAATCACACATCCGCTAGTCAATAAAGATCTGCTGTGTCATCGCAGCACTGTCAATTCCTCTGCAACAGACGATCGTCGCAGTCATGAGGTGCCTGTAATTACGACCACATCTGCTGGGACCTCGTCGAATAGAGACCTCTCTTGGACACTAAATCTGGTTGACCATTGCCGACCTGTGGTCCGAATCAGTCCAGATTCCGAGTTTGAGTCAGACTCTTGCTCCGACACTCCGCCTTCTTCTTTGTCTCCCGATTCAACGCCGTCCTCCTCACACTTCTCCTCTGTCGCATCAACCGTCTTCTCTCGATCTACCTCCCAATCCTCCGAAGGTTCTTTGACCTCTTCTGTTTGCTCATTATGCTTCAGTGAAAACAACTTCCAAATAGGCAGCAATGATGACCAACAAGGACTTCCAGTCACTTCCGCCAATCGAGATCATCTGCACCACCATTTTAGGGCCTCACGGCGCAATCTGCTCACTTCTGACCAGGCCAGTTTAGACCTGATTCCAGATGAGGCTGCTTTTCGACCGCCCGAACCATATGAGGCCAAGTGCGATTCCGGCAATCAGATTCTGCGACCAGTCAACCGGACTCATCTTTCGCCATCACTGACTTTCACGGACTCAACTACACTCGGTACATCTGC